CACACACACACACTCACCCTTACTTTTACCATCTCTTTTTCTATCATTTATCATTCTCCAGTTGGTCAGTATGCTGGCACAACTCTTGTAGGACGATAACCCACTATTTCCAATATCATCTTTTGTGCTAAGTCCTTGTTGTTTCGTTGTCATTCTCTATTTCTTGAGTCTTCGGGTCCTCTTTCAGTTTGTTACTGTTTATGTTTAGATTTTTGTTTCATTCTTCAGTCCATCAGTTGTTTACTTATTCCTTTTGTCTTCAGTATTTTTGTGTGTTATAATTTTCTCTTATTTAGATAATCTTTGTGTATTATCATTGGCTTAATATATAGTTTTAAGAAATTTTTTGTGTATTCTTCCATGTTTACTTATTTAGTTTGAAGTTTTTATTCTTTCTTTTATGCGGGGGTGTTTAAGATTTTATTCATCTTCAGTAATCTCTGTGTATTACGATTGTTCATATTTTAGCATCTTCAGTTTTGTTTAGTATTCTCATTTATCAGTTCATTAGCATGCAGCCCCTCGGTATGAATGCATCAGTTAGTTATATATACATTATGTGTTTAGTCTCTCGCTCATTCAGTGTCCTTCCTCTCCCAAGTTCTTTGTATGTCTGTCTTACTAAGCCACATTATCTTGCGTGAACTAATCTTGTATTATTATTAATTAAGCCGTATCAGTCGTCAATGCATTCGTTTCTAGTCGATCAGTTCAGTCATGTTTCTACGAACACATAAATATGCTATGGGCCATGGGCCATGGAGACCATGCACAGTGGTTCATCTAGTTGTAGTTGCTTGTAAATCATATTTGTCTTCCCATTTTTATTTCTTTGTCTTTCATCCGTTTAAACTCTTTAGTTCTTCACCTTTTTCTTTCATTTTTCATTTTTACCTTAAGCTTGTCATTCTTCTTGTATTTCCGACAAACTATGGTATACTTTCTGCATCAATTTTTTAAAGACCGTCACATAATAGAGTAGATAGATTACTCCTAATCTGGCCGTCATATGAAGCCACCTTCATGGCTTATATCAGTACAGAGTTCACGGGTGCAAATGAAATGCTTTGGAGCTACTCCTCCTATCAAAATATAAGACGTTCTAACATTTTTTTAGAATCAAGTGCATATAGACATGTTTTAGTATTTTTGTTCACTCATTTTAGTATGTATATAGTCTTTTCTTTGGTTTTTTTCGAAAAAACTATATGTAGTCCATATTAAAATATTCAAAATATCTTATATTCATGAATGGAGTAAATATTAAAAATATCTTATATTCATGAATGGAGTAGTACATAACTGTCACATAAGGCATATAACTTTTTGTTTGATGGAACATAATGCATATAACCTGGTGGGAGAAGTATGCAACACTCTGTTAATAATCAAACATATAAGCAGCATACATTTAGGTTCACTTGTTACACAAATGATCTTATATGCAAGAGTCACAAAATACGCCTTCCACAGTTGGAAATTACTTCAACTGCTGACCTAAGATTTAAGTGACTACTCCATCACCATCAAAATCCATCATCTCTCAAGCTAAAGTAAACCAAATTAAACCCTACACATTACTAAGATCACTAGAAGACTAAACTTGTGGAATCATTTAGGATGAGGTCTTGTCAATACGAATGCGGAGCCAAACCATCCTGGACCTGGACGGCCCATCCCAAGCAAGCATCTTGGGCGGCACCGCCAAGAAGGTCATCAGCTCCTCCACGACGAGGACGTCGGGCTCCTTGGTGCTCGTCACCTCGATTTCAGCCCTGACAGTGTTGACCCTGCCGTTAACCGCCGACGGCGGCCCATTCACCCACACCTTGGCCGTGTAGTGCGGCGGCGGGGAGGCCCCCGCCCTGATGCACACAACCGACACAGCGATAGGTGCGCTTGGACCGAGAGCGCCGCCGACCACGAGGAACACACGCTCGTCCTCCTCCGCGAACAGCAGGCGCCGCGGCTCCGACACCGGCACCTGCAGCTGAAGAACCTTGCCATACTGGATCGTTTGCACGGGCATGGGGTGGACATCGGTGAGGTGGTGGGGGAGCGTCTGCGGCGGGCCTTCAAAGCCGCAGCCGGGAACGGGGCACTTGCAAGGCGCGAACGGGCACGCGTCCTGGTGGTCTTGGAGCTTGTGGTAGGTGATGAAGAGCCCGCAGCCGTCGTGTGCGCACTCTACCGTGGCCGCGGAGACCACGGCGTCCATCGCCGTGTTATGGACGTCGAAACCACCGCCACGTTCGCACTTCTGACACTGCCGCTCATTACCGGGGCGCTCGCCGCGGCAGTCGCCGCATGCCAGGTGCCCAGCATTACACTGCACAAATTAACCGAACAACACCGCGTCAAGAAACCCGCGCCTCCCTTCCTCGGTCGGTCCGGTGAAGGGAACAAATAGAGGAAAGAATCGACGGGGACGGGATATGGTCGAACCTTACCTGGTGGACGGGCGGCTTCAAGGGGCGGGAGCAGAAGTGGCACTGCAGAACGGTGAGGCCCAGATGGGCCTCCTTGGTCGGGGCCTGTATCGCCGGCACGATCTCGCCCGCCTCGTGCATGAGCACGACCATCTCTTGCTTCACCGGGGCCGGCCTGGCCAGCACCAGATCCAGCCTCCGCTTCTTGGCGCTCTGGCCGCCGCCCGTCTCCATCGCCGACGGCGAGCCCCTGACCCTTTCCGACGAGCTACCACTAGCAGCCTGCATGCTCAACCACTCTGCCTGTCTTAAGTGTGAAATGCTCGGCTCGCGAGGTGGAAGAGAAGACTGGGAAAAGCAGCAAGCGCGGCGGGTGAATTAATAATGCCCCCGTTAACAGGCCGATTGATTTGACAGTGGTAAAAAAAAAGGATGCGGCGTGCTTGACGTTGCAGCAAGCCAAAGCCGTAGCCGTACAGTGACCGCAGTATCGCACAGTCCAGCTAGCCGGTTCCTTACTAGGCAAGTTAAAAGTACAGCGTCAAGTCCTCGCCTACTACCTCCGCTCCTCGTTATATTTTATGCTAAATTTTAACCATAGATTTAACTAACATCATCAAAAATTATATCACTAGAAACTATGTTCAAATACGAATTGAGTGATATAATTTTTTGTCACATGCATTAACATTTTATTAGTTAAATATTTGATCAAAATTTGATACAAAATACAAAAAAGATCAATAAACAAGGAAGGAGGTAGTACGAGTTACGGCTGCAAGTTGATGTCAAGACCGTAGGGCAAATTCATCCTTTTTATTGCCATGACAAATGTACATAACAACCATGGCAAATTTTCTTTCCACATTTCATGGAAAAAATTCTATGGACCATGCCAAATTATTTTATTGCCATGTCAAATTCGTCATGGCAAAAAGTAGTGTATAAAATTTCTCCATGGCAAATTGATCCTTTCTATTACCATGGAAAGTTCATGGCATTTTTAGTGTATGGAGCATGGCAAATTTTTGAATCAATTTCATTTTTTATTTAAACATTGGCAAAAAGAAATATTTGTAGCACGACAATCTTTGTGTGTGTTATTTTTTCATATATGGAAAATTTCTCATACAAACACATGGAAATTTAAATTAAAATACCATGGAATTTTTATTATTGAATCTGCCATGGCAATATTTCAATCAAACCTCTACTTTACACTTTTCTTCATTCTATATTTTTTACATGGTAATTTTTGCCATGTCATTTTGTTGAACGCAATTCTTTTCCATGTCAATTCTAGGAATTGCCATGTGATCTTAATCAGTGTTGTTGTTAGAATATTTCTTTTTCTATGGATTGGATATTTTTTTGGCTGGCCACATAAAAATATTCCCTAGTGAATTTTGGCTCAATTTTTGTCTAATTTTTTTCCTTAGGTAACTAGCCAGAAAACTGGGTAGTATAGACCAGTGCTCAAACTCTCCATTTCTCTCGTAGCTATTCAAAATGAGGTAAAGTTTTATTTGGAACTTTTTTTGCAAGATAAATTAGCATTGATCAAAATATGGGTCATTGCAATTTCTGTTGGATTTTTCATGCTACCTTTCATTGCAATTTCTGCTGAGTTCAACGGTTGGATTGGAATACTAACAGATATATTTTTCCTTCTTTTCCAATTACTTCTAGACCTTCAATGCAGGGCGTGCCGGTCACCGGCTGAAGTTGCAGGACGACGGTTCCCGAGGCGCGACGGGACATGGCATTGCCATAGCTGCACCGCGCAGCCGTAGCCTCTGATGGGGGACTGTGTACGTACGACTTTGACGCTGCGTTGAGTACGGTAGAATTGTTTATCCAACAGCAGAACCAGCTGGACTATAAAGAAATTGTTGCAGCGCCAAACGTCTCTAGCCTTGTTGGATAGTTACCAAAAGAAGTTACTATTATACTGCTAAAATAGTTACTAGGACTATCCTGAAAAAAAAAGTTAGAACTGAGACAAACTTGCTTGGACGGCCAGGATACGGTTGCTATGTTTCACAACCTTACATCAAGTAATAAGTTAAGCTTAGTTGGCCAAAGTATTAGTTTAGCTTCACTGCCTATGGCAACATGACCAAAGTTCACTGTACTATTTCAAACCTAAAAAAATTCCCGTATCACTTCGGTCAGTTGGATGCTTCCCAGTCATCCAGATGTCCCCGACACGATGACGGCAAGCTGCACTGGGAAACGGCAAAATGAAGCGCAATAAATGTGGCGTGGCGTGCTTGCCTGGCCCTTGGGCAGTAAAGAAGGCATTGGAGCAGTCGGGGAAAGAGATTCGCTGAACAGAGTAAATCTGTGGATTTACGGCCCAGTTCAAAGCACAAATAGTACACAACAGGAGAATAAAAGGCAAGTATGCAGAAAGGCCTCGATTGTACAACAAGTAATACGGGAGAATAAACGGTCTTCCTTTATTTTGTTTTATAAACCCCATTATGTGCTAGTATAGTAAAAATGCAAACACATAATGGGGGTTTGTAAAACAAAATAAAGGAAGAATGTTTCATTAAAACCTACAAGTATGCAGAAATGCCTTGATTGTACAACAAGTGCACTGGGAAAAAATTGGTTGGAGTAGATGATCCGTTTCGTGTGAAACTAGAAGCTATGCACAGTCATGAAATCGTAAAAGAGTGTCCAGAATTTTGTTCAAGCGCGATAAATATCTTGTAATACCTATTAACAAAAAAAGTTTCTCCGCTTTATTACATATAAAGTAACCACTAGACCATGATGACGCGCGTTGCTGCGCCCGCCCATGTTACGACAGAATGATAAAATATCATGTAAACTTTTGAAAATGTAAAACATATGAATTAAATTTGCATGACGTAACACACATATTTTATATGACATAGTAATTATGTCATGTGGAGTAGAATTGGCTAGGTGACTGCTCAGGTTTTTTAAATAAATAGTGCATATAAAAAAGGAATACAAGAATAGCTTTTTTTAGAAGGAATATAAGAATAGCTGGGTGGCGCTGATATGCGGACACACGCATCTACGTTTTTTAGGCTACACACGCAGCTATGTACGTATGTGTTTTACACTTTGTTCGCTGAAACCAGTTCACAGGCCCAATAAACAATCGAAACCCAATAAACAACAGGTGGCGTAGATGGTTCTGCGGAGCAGTAGCCCAAACAAAGGTACAGGCGACATGATCGCGATCCTATGGCTAGCAACGCCAAAACGCTGTGGAGCCTCGTAGGTCTCTCAGTTTTACTGTTTTGTAATTATCGAGCTACCAATACAAACACGCCAACGCAACATACACCCAAGACATGATACAAATACGCTGAAACAGCCTCACTACCCCATATAACTCCAAGCCAATAAATAGGTGAACAATACTCCATCACTATGGAGTGTCAGGGCACACAACCATGGACATGACATCACAGTGAGATGAAGCCTTGCCCGAGGTGGCGCTTTTAAGAAGGGAACGACAACGAAGCACCACCACCTCCCAATCCGAAGACCAGGGTTTCCCCGGAGGACCACAATGAACAGTGAGTACCCATGACGAGGCCTATAAGAAGGGGACGACACGAGAACACCGCCCCACCGACTTGACAAGTCAAAACGGTTTTTCACTCCGACCAGCACTCACCGTCACCAAATTGAGCTATGGCCTACCGCACCACGCCACCGAACGTCACACCCTAGCCACCACGCCGCCCACACGACCGTAGTCGCCAAACAAGGGCTAAGCTGCATGCTCCGCCCCTAGCGCCACGGCTCCCACCACCAAGGTCGCCGCCCCCGACATCCGTGGCACCAACTCCATCCCTGCCACAGGCTCATAACCAAGATGGCAGAAGAGACGGGCGGGAAGGCACCTCCTTCCACACCCCTGAATAGCTGCCAGGTCCACGCTTGGCCAGAGCTGGCCTGCACCGCCCCACCTTGCCCCACCCGGGCAAAGCCGAGCTCATCGATGGCACGCCACCACTAGACCGGAGGCAAGGACGATGACGTCATGCCCC